GCGTCGTGGAGCTGCTGCTGCTTGGGGCGGTGTGGCTGGCGGGCCCGGCCCGCGGGCAGAATGAGACGGAGCCCATCGTTCTGGAGGGCAAGTGTCTGGTGGTGTGCGACTCCAACCCCACGTCTGATCCCACCGGCACAGCTCTGGGCATCTCTGTGCGCTCCGGCAGCGCCAAGGTGGCTTTCTCTGCCATCAGGAGCACTAACCACGAGCCGTCCGAAATGAGTAATCGCACCATGATCATCTACTTCGACCAGGTGAGTGCTCCGTGCATGGATTAGCGGGGGGTGGGGCGAGGTGGAAGGTAGATGTCCGATCCTCTCCACGCTCTCCGCGGAGACGCGGGCCAAGAGTTCGGGATTGACTCGTGCCTGCTCGTTCCCGTCTCGTTATAGGTACTAGTGAACATCGGAAACAACTTTGATTCAGAACGCAGCACTTTCATCGCCCCGCGCAAAGGGATCTACAGTTTTAACTTCCACGTGGTAAAGGTCTACAACAGACAGACCATCCAGGTCAGCTGCGCTTCAGGGCCAGATCCCGGCCCTGGTAGGGGACTAGCCGCGGAAGTGAGCGGCCATATGAGCGGGGAGGGAGATAAAGGGCAGCTGCATTTGCCCGGGACCGCTTGGAAGGGCGAGTAGCAGGGCCTCACGGTTCTGTGGTTTGGCTGTTCCTTGCTCCCCGTGTCGCCGGCTCTTGGAACCTAGTCCCCTCCCCAAAGGCATAGTTTCCCTCCTCCACCTTCCGGGTCCTTCGGAAGAGGTTCTCCAGCCTCCCTGCGGGACTCTAGGGATTCCCCGTAGAGGTTGTTAGCATCACAGACAGTTCCCGCTTCCTGAAGATTTCCATGATCCCCGCCTTCAGCACCACGGACAGCACCCCGACCCCTTCCTCGCTTGTCCGAAGCTGCCAGACGCCTGTGCGCTTGCCTCCAGCTCCACGCTCAGGGGGCCTCGCGGCGTCCCTTTGCGGACCCACCCTGGCTGGGTTTTTGAACTAGCAGCTCCGAGCCCAAGAGGGTGAAGGATGGAGAAAGAAGGAGGGGGCCTATTGTCACTCCTTCGTGGCTCCATCCGTGTCCCACCCAGCACTCACCGGCTCCCCGGGTTCTCAAAGGTTAGGTTTCCTCTGAGCTGAGACAGAAGGCGGAATGCGCCGCTGAGAGGAGGGCGCAGGGCCTTTGGCTGCCGATGCCACCGCAAGGACAAAGCCAGGCAGTGGCGAGAGCGGCCGGTGGTGGAGGGGAATTGAGCCTGGGGCTTGGGGATGAAGTACAGAGCACAGCTCTGCACGAGATTTCTCGCTCACCGAGAGCCTTGCCCGGCTTCCCCACTGTGTCTCTCCACCGTGTTCAGGAAGCTCAGACAAGGAGACAGGGCTTTTGTTTGTTTTCCCAGAAGCGCAGAACAGAGTTGCTTGAGTTTCAGTTTGAGAGGGGAGTGGGGGTGGGGTGGGGTGCTGCTGGTGGTGGGGTGGTTGCGGGGTAGAGAGGCCTAAAGTCTCAGGGCGCTTGAGGCACCTACGAATTCATTAAACTGGATTTTTATAAGCGCTGCGGGGATTCGCTGGGCGCTCAGGGAATAAAAGTGACTCCCGTGTGGGGGGGCAGACCCTTCCTCTCATCCAGATGGTCCATCTTTCGCTCCCATTGGACCCTCAGCAAAGCCCCGCTTTCTCTCCCGCCCCCCCCACCCCCATGCTTCCAGGCGTTTATGGCCCTTAGCCTGGCGATGAAGATTCGCGTCTCCGCCGCCGCTTCGGTACCCGCCTAGGTTGCGACTCTGAAGCAGGCCTTTCTCTTTCTCAGGTGAGCCTCATGTTAAACGGGTGGCCGGTGATTTCAGCCTTCGCTGGTGACCAAGACGTGACCCGGGAAGCCGCCAGCAACGGAGTCCTAATCCAGATGGAGAAAGGCGACCGAGCATACCTCAAGCTGGAGCGAGGCAACTTGATGGGGGGCTGGAAGTACTCGACCTTCTCCGGATTCCTCGTGTTTCCCCTCTGACTGGCGCAGCACCGCATGGAGGCGGGGAGAGGGCGAAGGCAGGAGGGGCAATGAGAAGGAGGCTGAAATGTAAGGAGAAAGCTGCGGACTGGGAACGTCCCACGTGTTCCCCAGCTGATTCCGCGTGAAAGGTGCGCCAGGCGGTGGGACGACTCTGTCCATTTACTCCTTAGAAGTAAATTCCACCTAGCTCTGCGCACTCCCATTTCCGAAAATAAACTCGCCTCCCGATTTCAGTTTCAGTAACGAAGGAAGAGAGACTGCTTTGTCGTTGTTTCTTACCCCATGTTCATGCTCCCTACCATTTACCGAAAAGAAACTTTGTATTTCACCGTATAATGTGAGATATCTTCTTCCGCTGTCCGCTGCTGAAATCTAATATGCCCCTCCCCCCTTTTAGTTGAGAGGGGGCAAGGTTTTGTTTTGGTTTTGTTTTTGGATGGGGGAGTTACTTTTAATTTGGCAAGTATTGCTCTTCTTAAAACAGCGCTCAAGAGTTAATTAGCTGAAGATACTTTGTGTCCTCGGCTGCTTGTTAGCAGAGAAAGGACTCACCTTAGTGGTGACTGGTTTAAAAATTATATATATAAATATATATCATTTGTACACGAAGAACTCTTCCCAGTGGAAACTGGCTGTATTTCCGTATTTCTCTGTCCTATTCGGAGTGATCGTGAAAGCTAAGGCTGCTTGATGTTCTGATGCTTGTCGGTGCCCTCGTGTTCTGTGGCTCCACGAACCGCCAGGAGGTTCTTCCGGACGCTTCCTCGTCCCCTGTAACATACGTGTGAATAGTCAAGATTTAATTTCGCTTTAATTCAATAAAGTTAAAGTGGGAATTTTATTTTTCTGAAACAGCTTTCTAAACTCCGCAGCTTCCCCAGGCGCGAGGTTTGGGGGCAGGGGTGCGGAAGGGCGAGTTTCAGAGTGTGGGAAACGCGCTAGCCCGCGACCCCGACGCCAGGCGCCAGGGCTTCGGCGCGGTGCAGGGCCGCGCGCCTTCCTGCTCCAGGCCCGGGGCCGGCCCCGCACTCGCTGTGCTCCCTGCTTTGGCACAAACGTAGGACATTTGGCAGGAAATCTTCTTCGCCCAGCGGGGCTGCCGGCCTGGAAGCGAAGTTCGGGTTTTTCGAAGTCCGTATGCATCAGGAATAATCCCGACCAGAGGAGCCGGACCCAGCCAGCCCGGAGCGGCGGGCTTCCCACGCCTCGGCCCCAGGGTTTCTCCCGGCGTCGCTCCCGGGTCCCCGAGGCAGCGTTTTTTGTACCGCCGCTCCGCCCGCCGTACGCACCCCGGCGCCCAGGACCTGTGATTGCGCTCATCGCAGGACTTTTGATCAGAGGTTCGTCCAGGAGCTTTGATTGTATCGGAACATAATGTGGAAACAAAACTGAAATAAACGACTTCGTTTTAAGCCTGGACGTCTGACCCAGTCGCTTCGGCAGCGGGGAGGTCGGGCGCCGGAGAGCGCGCCCCGGGCCCCGGGCCCCGCGGCGGGAGCCTCCGCCTGGATGGGCCCCCGCTAGCTCTGGTCCTTTTAGAGGCTTTTTCCTGGCCCGAGTTTCGGGGACGAATTTAATTAGCTCCTGGGGGTGGGAGACGGGGGGGGATTAATAATAGCATGATAAGCTACGAGTCTAGATTTATTCCTGCGGCTCCTCTGATTGAGAGATTCACGAAGCGAGCGGCCTTCGTTGAGAACTCGCGCCCCATCTTCCGCCACCCTCCTCCGCCGGCCGCATTCCAGGGCGCTCCGCCGCCCCGGCGCCCCGGTCCCGAGGGGTTAGGTGGGGCCTCCGGGATTGAGCAGCGGACTCCAGGGCTTTTCTCTTTCTGCCTCAGCCTCACCCCGAGTCAGTTCCCAGGGAAGCGGAAGAGGTAGAATAAGGAGCCCCCGAGGACTTTAAACAAACTTTCCCCCCCCTTTTTTTAAAGAGACACTTTTTAAAATGTTTTCTCCGCATTTTTCGGTTGGGAGGGAAAGGTCGGGAGAGTGGAGCCTCGGCAGCGGAACGAGCTCCACCCAACCACTCCGCCTGAGCGCACAGAGCCCGCGCGCCAGCCCCGCAGGCTCGGCGCCCGGGCTCTCCACGGAGGGACAGTCGCTGCCACCCAACGAAACCGCGCCCGGAATGCGCTGGAATGCGCTCGGAGCTCACTTGGCTGCCCGCTGGTGATCACTCTCTTTCTGAGGAGGGGCCCATGGGGGTGGCTGTACAAGCTGTGCGACGACCAGGCTGTGCTTCTGCTGGGTGACCGGCAAGTCCCCTTTCTGGGCCTCAGTTTGCCCATGTGTACAAAGACAGAGAGGACTCCAAACATCTCCAAGACTCTCTTCTGCTCCGAGTTGTCCCAGCAGTCCTCTGTTCCCTGACCAGGGTCCCCAGCTCTTTTGCCTGGGTTTAGTGATTCCTGGCTACATCCTATGCTGACCAGGCCCCTGAAGGCCAGGCCTGAGGCCAGGCTGGAGGCCAAGGGCAAGTCTGTGCATCCAGACACTCACTTTGAGCCTCTTTATCCAGACACTCAGACTCACTTTGAGCCTCTTCTCTGAAGTCTAAGGTGAACACAGAGCGGGAGAATATGAGCCACAGTGGGACAGAGAGAGAAAAGCTATTCCATGATTCTGCTCTGGCTCCAGCCGGCCCCTTCCTGAGGGAGAACCCCTGTTTCCCCCAACGTCTGACCTTAGCGTTGGAGGCCCTTCTCACTCTGGTTACAGCCATTTCTTTACCCTCTGATCCCTTCCTTTGCCATTTGATGAACCCACCTCCCGTCACTGTCTTCATGCCTCTGTACCAGCTGTTTCTTTGCTCCAAGTTGAAGGACACTTTCTCTCCTTTCCTTGGCAAAATCCTAACCTTTCTGGGGATCTAAGCAGTTTCACTAGAAGGCTGCCTCTTCCAGGAAGCGGTCTCGTCCATCCAACACAAGCTTTCCCAAGGTCCACGACCCCTCCCCACCCTCCCACCCAGCCTCGTTTGGCGCTGGGCGGGAGGAGAGACACCTGGTGCCAGCCGTCCCACGCTCCGCAGTGGTTTCAATGGGGCAGTGGCGCCCGCACCAGCAAGCGCTCAGGAGTGCTAAGCTGGCACTCCTGCTCCAGAGGGCCCTGGGGGAAATGTGAGGTTTCCCACCTCCAAACTGCCTGCACCCTCAGACCATCCCTCCTATTAGCCTGGGTGGGCTGTGGACAGCTCCTCCCCAGGGGCCTGAAGTTTAGAGAGCTCTCCAGGGCCTTACTCTTAGCGGCCAGTCCCTCCCCCTCACCTCATGTGGGGCAAAGGTGGTAGTGGCTGTAACTTCTGCCAGAGGCTAATGAGTCAGCCTTCATCTGAAAATTGTGCTCCAGATTGGGGGGAATCAGACCCCAACTGGTGTGTTGTGGATTGAGGGGGAGAGAGGAAAAGGGCCAGGTGCTGGGTAGAGACTCCCTCCCCGCCCCTAACCAGGCTGGGGGGAGGGGCGCTCTAAAACCCACACCTCACGGTGGCTTCCTTTAACGCTTAGTACCCTCTAGGCCCTTCTAGATGAGGTTGCCCTGCCTCTTGCTTTCACCTCAAACCCTATGGGAACAGAGGCTGTAGAGGTTCCAGGACCACCCCCTCATTCAGCCTCACCCTCAGTCTGAAACACTCCTCCCCTGCTCAGGCCACCTTGGTTACTTCCTCCTCTTCTGCCTCAATAGTAAACGTCACCTCCTCCAGGAAGCCTTCCGGCGCCCCAGATAGACAGACTGGTTACCCGTCCTGGCCTCCCTCTTCCGAGTATGGTCTCTCTCCGCACACTTTCCAGTTCTGGGAGGGTCTGTGTTAGGAGTCTTATCCCAGGGATCCTTTCGCTTGCCATTTGATGGGTGGGGGTGGGGGTAATAGCCGCAGAAAGGGAGGTTTTCAGGAGCAAGGAGCCCAGACCTGACTTCTGGGCCCCGGTTTTCCAGGCGGCGCCTTGCGCTTCTGGGTACCACCGGGCCCACGCTGGATCCCTGGCGAGGAGTGGGGTCAGTGTCCTCTGTGTTGTCTGCCCAGCCGCACCGGTCTCGCGCCGGCGTCCGGCTCGCCGGCTCCCCGGCTCCCTCGCCGCGGCTTCGGCCCTTGGCTGAGCTGGGAGCGCGCCCTCCGAGCCGCGCTGGAGCCGGACGCTGACAGCCCGGAGAATGGGCTCCTAACGAGAACATAATTAGCCAGATGGAAAGGGAGCCTCACCCGGCTCCTTAATTGTTGCCTTAATGGGGTAGTGATGGGGGAAGAGTGCGGGGCGGAGCGAACCGAGAGGACATTTCCATGGGGGTGCTGGGCCAGGTCCCCGGGCCCCTCGGACTCAGGAGTGGGTCCAAAGACCAAAAGGTGCAGACTCGCGCCCTGCGCTGGCCTCTGGCGTGATGCGCCACCGAGATGACTCTCTCCCCTAGTCTGACCTTGTTTACCTCGGATCCCAAATATGAGGGGGTGGGATGGAGATGTCGAGGGTTTTCTCCAGGTGATCTTACTTTTCAGATCAAGGCGTCCCCTCTCCCATTCAGCCAGCCACCTCCCAGCGTGCTCTTTGGCCCGCCCCCACTGGCTTTCAAACAAGACTGAAACCTTTTACCGACTCTGGAGGAGGCCAGCTGTGTCCTGGAGCTGGGAGGTCAAGCTGGGAGGTCAAGCCGGGAGGGAAAGCCAGGTTCACCTGCCTTTAAGCCAATTCACGGGGGACAAAAGATTCCCTGAACCCTTACAAAGGCCTCTTGGTATCTTTGCACAGGTTCCTCATTGAAGACACAGGCGCACTCTCTCAGAGCCTCAGTTTGCTCGGATTTCAAGTGGGGACAATAAAGCCTTCACAGCAGGATGGCTGTGAGGACTTTGTGAAGAGGTATGAAAAATGCTCAGCGCTGCCTGACACACAGTAGGTGCTGAGTAAATGGTAGAGACAGTAAAGATCGATGCGCATCACTGTCACAGAAGCAGGACACGAGGGGACATGGGACAGATGGAAAACCGAAACCAGGGAGAGGGAGGGACGCAGAGCGAGCGAATCTTGGAATTAGGAAAAGGGTGCTGCCCTCCCTCTTCTCCCCGCCCCCTCTAGTCAGTCACAGGAACAGCGGCTTCTCTGTGTCTCATCTCCATCCGCGTTGCTCATGTAGTCCCGTGACCCATGTGGATGAACACTCTGCATGGCCGCACAATGCCCGGTCAGGGCACAAGCCCCGTTGTCATGTCCGTGTCCCTTTAGAGGCTGAGCCCCTCCGAGGCGGGAACTTCGGCCTGTTCACTTTGCTTGGTCCGTGCCTCCCTTGGTGCCTGGCACAGAGCGGGTGTGCTGTGACTGTCATGGTGAAACCTAACTGTGCCAGGCACAATTGCAGGACACGCACCCAGCCAGTGAAACTGTCCTTGGGGGGAACTTCCTAAACCTCCCAGTTCGCTGCCCGCATCGCTACAGGAATGCTGACCTGGAAGTGCTCCCACACCCCGTACAGGCAGGGAACCTTCCTCAGCACCTGCGCTTGCTCTCACCTCTTCCAGTTCACTTTGAGCTTGGCCTGTCCCCAGAAGTCCCAGCCTTGACCCTGGGATAGTGGGGAGCAGG